TCGAACTGAAATAGTCCCGAACTTTTTTATCAGTCACCTCTGTCCGTCCTGATAAGCTGAACGCTGCCTCTGTGGTTTGAAGATGGTTCAAAAGCAACTGAAGCACCGGGGAAAGGAAGTACACGACGCAGCCCGTCGGTCAAATTTCTCATTCGATTTCCAGTTACTGGAAGCAATCAAAGTGGAAAAAGGAAAACAGAAGCTGCATTTAACTAATTTCTGTAAATTAAACTTACACATACGTCCATCTTCACTACCATATACCGAACTATTTGAGACCATTCCCATCGCATATCCACCATTACCACTAAATGCATTGTTTGCTAGCCACAATCACAACAACATAGAAGTACTAAGAGTAGAATGCTGAGTCACATACGTAAAGGAAGATTTGGGAATGCGGTCTAGAAGATTTGGCATGGGAGTTGAACGAAGTGGGGGAGCATTGCTTAAGACAAGCATTTAAACCGGAGGAAGCGCATGTGTATATATTAGTATTCCTTACCCAAATCCGAACTGAGAAGGGAATTGCATTCCAAAATGAGGTCGTCCCAACCTGGAATGACCCCCGAGGCGAGAACCAAGTTCACCATCTGGGTTGGATATGGGCGCATCAGGATATGCAAGGTCGAAAGACTAAAGGTGAGACAATTTGGACTATTTGATAAAAGGGATTAAGCTAACCAAAATTCCCATGCTGACCTCTTTGTACTGCTCCTTTGCAAACCACAATTCTGCTTCCTTTTTCTCCTCCTCACTCAAGCCTTCTTCTCTTTCAAGCATCAGGGATTCGTGAAGGAATGGCTCCTAAATATGAAACTGGAGTAAAGCATATAATTTCAGGGGTTTAACAAACCTCGGCTAACATTTCGCTTCTTGGCTTGACTACAGATTCCAAAACTGCATCGTCAAGATCCCACTTAGAAGTGTCCCATTTGTCATGAATAACGTCAAGAGCTTCCTGTCACAAAATTTTAAATTCATCTTTTAACCGCTACCGAC